ACTCGATCCCGGGTCTCCAGGATCGCGCCCTGGGCCAAAGGCAGGCGCCAAACCGCTGCGCCATCCAAGGATCCCCAATAAATGGCATTTAGAACAAGATAATGAGAATAGAGAGATGTTAAAAGAGGAAGATAAGAGGTTGGCAGAAACCAGACTATGTAAGGCCTTAAAGGCTATATAAGAAATCTAGCTTTTCCCTAAGAGCAGTAAGTTCTGCCATTTCAAAGAAGAACAAAACTGGCTCAGTATTTTGGAGGGAAGGAAGAAAGGTTATGGCAAGACCAGTTAGGAGGCTACTCAGGTAGCCCAGGTGAAAAATCACAGTAATCTGAATGAGAGTAAAAACAGTGGAGATAAAATTTAACATATGATTTGAGGAATATTTAAGAGCTAAAACTGGCATGTCCTGATGATAGACTGAATATTAGGAAGATGGAATAGTAAAGACTTTCAAATGCCATTTTCCAAGGAAGGAAACTCAGGAAGAATTTTTTTTTTTTAAGATTTTATTTATTTATTCATGAGACACAGAGAGAGAGAGGCAGAGACACAGGCAGAGAAAGAAGCAGGCTCCATGTAGGAAGCCTGATGTGGGACTCGATCTGAGGAACTCCAGGATCACGCCCTGGGCCAAAGGCAGACTCTCAACTGCTGAGCCACCCAGGCGTCCCAAAATGGACTTTTTTTTTTTAAACTAAGCATTATTTTGTTTCCAACTAACCATAAAATATTCCTTCTTCTGAGGCACCTAGGTGGGGCTCAGTTGGTTAAGCATCTGCCTTCAGCTCAGGTCATGATCTCAGGGTACTGAGATTAAGCCCCAAGTAGGGCTCCGAGGTCAGTGGGGAGTCTGCTTCTCCCTCTCCGTCTGCCCCTCCCCCTTCTAGCACATGTGGATTCTCACTCTCAAATAAAGAAATAAAATCTTAAAAAAAAAAAAATACACTCCATTCTTTAATGAAGAATTAGACTTCAGGAGTTCATTTAGGCATTTTTTTTTTAAATTGAGATAGAATTGATTACAATGTGGTATTTGTTTTAGGTGTACCACAGTGATTTAACAATTCTATAAACTATGCTATGCTTAACCACAAGTGTAGTCACCATCTACCACCATACAATGTTATTACATATTACTGACTATATTCCCTATGCTGTATTTCTTATCCCCATGACTTATGTATAACTCGAAGTTTGTATCTCTCAATACCCTTCACCTATTTTGACCATCCTCCCAACCCCCTCCACTCTGGCAACCACAAACCTACCCATTCTCTCTATAGACAAAAATGTTTTTGCTTGTTTCTTTTGTTAGATTCCACTTACAAGTGAAATTATATGGTATTTGTCTTTCTCTGTCTGACTTCACTTAGCATAGTACCCTTTAGGTCCATCTATGTTGTCACAAATGGCAAGATTTCATTCTTCTTTATGACTAATATTCCATCACACACACACACTATATCTTCTTTATCCATTTATCTATTGATGGACACTTACGCTGCTTCCATATCTTGGCTATTAAAAATGCTGCAATAAATATAGGAGTATGTATATCTTTTTAAATTCATGTTTTCCTTTGGGTAAATGAGGAAAAAAATCAGGAAGTATGGATTGTTTTATGTTTTCTATTTTTGTTTGATTTTATGAAAGAGGTATGAAGAAAACATTGTTTGGTTTTACCTGAAGTTAAAGTATTTCTGAATATCCAAGTAGGATGGAGATTTCAAGAAGACAGCTAATTCTGAAGTTCAGATGATAGCTGTGGACAGGCAATATAATTTTTGAGTCTTTAGTGTATAGCTGATAACTGAAAATAGAAGCTCATGAAATGATGTAGAAAGAGTATATAAAGTGAAATGAGAAGATGACCTGTAATTGAACTTCAAGTAAAATGAGTCATATAAAAAGTTCATGGTTTTGGCAAAATGGAGGTCACTGCTGAACTTAGCCTGAACTGTTTCAGTTTAGTAATGGGACTAGAAGCCAGACTGGATTAAGAAGTGATTGGGAGCTGACAGCTCTTTTGAGAAATCTGGCTGTGAAGAGAGTAGGGGATTGGTAATGATAGGACAACTGTTAGAAGAAAGTGCGAGGGATGACTGAAGGATTCATTACCTCACCCACACCACATGATAGAGATCTAAGCATATTCAAAACAAGATGGGAGGTATCCACCTAAAAGGACAATGTTGACTATTCCCAAGAAAAGAGAGGGACAATTAATAGTGTAAGGCTTTTAGTAAGGCTTTTAAAGTGGAAAGGAATGAAGATACCAGCACAGGTATAAATATGAACCATCAATAGGAAAAGTAATTCTAGTGCAAAACAAGAAAGGAGAAAAAAATGAACAAAAATAGAGGCAGATTTAGGTGTTTCATAGTAAGAAGATAAAGAAGTTACGTTTCTTATTTATTTATTTAAAGATTTTATTTATTTATTCATGACAGACAGAGACAGAGGCAGAGGGAGAAGCAGGCTCCATGCAGGGAGCCCGATCTGGGAGATATAGGACTCAATCCGGGGACTCCAGGATCACGCCCTGAGCCAAAGGCAGACCCTTAACCGTTGAGCCACCCACATGTTTTTCTATTTAAAAGCATAGTCAGCATCGTTCATCACACAACTTATAAAAACCAATAGTATGCCTACGTTTCTCTTTTATCAAAAAAGACTACACTATATTCAATTTTTAAAAATATTGTGATAGATGCAGGATCATTATAGAGTAGAACAACAAATTTTTAAAAAACATTTATAAAAAATTTGGAATCAAAAACGTAATGAGATGTACAAATGACTTTTTGAAACTGAAACATTTGTTTAGAATTATACAGAGACATTTTTAAAATAAACATATAATCATAAATGCATGTGTATCTGTACACTGGCATGCAAAATCAGTTGAAAATAAACATTTTTACTGTGCGAATTTAACACTTAAAAAAACTACCTGTCACCTAGGAATGGACTAAAATGCCCTTCCCTCAACATCTTTAAGAATACAACTTATAAAATACTAAATAGTTTTACATTGTTTGGGTTCAGTCATTTTCAGTGTGTCATAAAATGTTCACCAACTTTCATTAGTACTTTTATTCTGAAATACATTTTGAATCTAATAAAAATATATAGATTCAAATACTTTTAACACACTGAAGATCACTGGCATGTTAATTTCTGTTGCGAGGTTAATTCATTTCTATATTATAATTCAAGAATATGATTTCTTCTGCCATCTCTGTTTAAACAAAAGTATACTCTTAGAGAATCTTAAATCACAACTATTTCAGAGTTTTCTTAATATTAGACAAATGTTGAAATATATGTTGAGAATATTTTTCATTATGCTTTATATACTACTTGCATAAGGTTTCTCTTTTCTTTTGGACTGTGTGAGCTCCACGGGCAGGAACTATGTTAATTTTGTTTGCCACTGTAACTCTAGTACCTAGTGTAATGTCTGATACAGAGTAGATAAGTCATTAAATATTTGTCAGTTTTAAGACTACAAATGTCTTATATCACATCTAATTCTACATTTATAACCCTAACAAATCAGCTTTAATATTTTTTCATAAGTAAGCATATAAAAAATTTATCTATTTTATATGTTAGAGTTACACTTAAGATTTTTTATAGTGTTCCAGTAATAAAAGTTTTCATAAAGATAGGGAGATAGACCAAATGATTTTTTCAGGTTCTTTCTGATCTTTTGGTTTTCCATAATGTAAGTAGAGATCTTTGGTCCAAATGTACATTATCTATAATAAGGCAGCCAGTCACAATATCAACAATGAAAATATGTTTATGTTTAGAGTTCATATAAACCAGTAGTTTCCAGTGTTGTTAGAAGACTTTGACAATTCCCCAGAAGTTGCTTGCAGGGCAGCTATGATGAGGTTAAACTATAGTATGATTCCCAGACCCCTCTTCTTGATTCAATCAGAATCAAGAAATTATATTTATTAAAAATTTATATTAATATGTTTATAATGTTGGAACTGGACATAAGATTTCACTAAAAAAAAAGGTTTAGGGAGAAAAAGGTTTAACAAATAGTGAAAAAAGCTTTATCATTATGTAAAATAAAATATTAATCTGGTCACGGCTGACATTTTTAATTATATTTTTGTTTTGTCTAAAATACTTTAGGGATTAATATCTTTGGGAGATGTCATATTAGCAAAAATAAGAAAAAAATTCCACTTAGTCAACTAACTTGAAACACAGTTCTTTCTTCCAACACTGGACTATCTAATGCTCCAAGAATGTTCCTTTTTGTACAGTGATTAAGAGAATTTACATACCATGGCAGAAAAACTACTTTATTAGAAAACTGCTTTTAAATTATGTTTAGATTTTCATGTTCCACGGAGGCATTTAAAATATGAAACATCTTTTAAAATACATTAAACTTTAAAAACTAGTATCAAAAGTAGTCTAGAGAAAAAACTGGAAACACCCAAAGGTCTATCAATAGATGCAGATAAATGGGTTGTTTTATAACAATGGAATACTACTCAGCAATAAAATGAAATGAATTAATGATACACACGGAAACTTGGATGACTCAAAAACTGTAATCTGAGTAAAAGAGAATTTTTAAAAGTACAGACTGAATAATCCTATAGATATAAAACTAGAATATACAAGTTGTCTATACTGACACAAGAAGATAAGTAGTAGCTGCATAGAGTAAAATGGGGAAGAGAGGAAGAGATTACCAAGGCACATGAGGAAACTTCTGGGAATGATGGTTATAGTCACTGTCTTGAATATAAGTAGTAATGGTTTCACAGGTGCATACATATACCAAAACACCAAACTGTATACTTTAAAAAGTTTACTGTAAGACAATTATATCAAAATAAAGCTTAACAAAAGTAGACATGTAACTTTTGAATGTAAAAGAATGTGTAAAACTGCCTGATAAATTTTTCAAGATTATTTCAGAATGTCAAACTACTATAGAGCTTTTTAAGGTAAAAAATGTTTACCTTTCAACTTTTGATGCCTGAGAATTTTCTATTCCTTTAAAACAAACTTTTTTGACATGATCTCCTGAACTATGGCCAGTAATAGATTTTTTTTCTTCAAAGAAATCCCGGAATGACTTGGATGAAACTGAATGTACAGAAGATGCCCTGCAAAGAACAACAGAGATCATGTTAAAAAGTCCATTTTTTAAAAAGGTCAATGCTAGAAATCACAAGTAGAAAATGGAGAGAATGTATTATCAAAAATTTTACACTGATATTATATAATTAGTTTTTAATGTGATGTTAGATTCTTGCTGTCAGTTGTGAATTCATCAAAATGATGTGATAAAAAAAAATGGAGACCAATACTGAAGATAACCCAGATGTTGAAATTAGCAATGATATTAAAAACAAGTGTCGTAACTATGCCTCAGGCAACAATAAAAAAAAGCTCAGAATAAATTAAAGAATAAGCTCAGGGAAAAGAAACTATGAAAAAGAACAAAATAGAAGTTCAAGAAGTTTTAATACAATATTTAAAAAACAAAATTCATTGGATGGATGTAACAAACAATTGGAATAGAATCAAGAAAAACTGAAGATAAATCAACAAATTTTTAAATCTGAACAGGGGTAAGAAAAGACTGAAAAAACTTCCACCATGGTGACTTAATCAGATATCAAAAGGTCTACCATAAGTGTAACTGGGAATACCAGGAAGAGAGGTTAGAAATACAGCAGATAAAAATATCTAAAGAAACAGTAGCCAAGCATGCCCCAAATCTGGTGAAAGATATAAATTTAAAGATTCAAGAATTTTAGAAAACCCCAAGGAATATCAATCTAAAGAAAACCATACTTAGGCACATAATGAGCAAACTGCTAAAAACCAAAGATCAAAAGAAAAGCTTGAAAGCATCTTGAAAGAAATACAACACAGTATGAAAACACTTAGCTTATTATTAGAAACAAGGAAAGCCAAAAGACAGTGGAACAACATCTTTAATATGATGAAAGGTAGGAAAAAAACTATTAATCCAGTATTCTATATCCATATGAGTCAACTTGGACAAGGATCCTCTCCAAGTCAGGATCAGAAATGATTACAGTCCTGGCTGAACCTTGATTGCAGCAGTGTGGGAGACATGAGCCAGGGGCACTCATAAGCAATAACTCAGTGAAGCCCGACCTAAAGGAACTATGAGAATAATAAACATTGATTGTTTTAAGCTATTTTTTAGGGATAATTTGTTACAAAGTAATAGATAACTAATATAATACCATTGGAATTAAAAAGATAATAAAGATTATAAATAACTTTAGGCAAATAAATGACAACTTATATAAAATGGACAAATATCTTAAAAAAATATATATTTTAAAGATTTTATTTATTCATGAGAGACATAGAGAAGCAGAGACATGGAGGGAGAAGCAGGCTCCTCCACTGGAGCCTGACATGGGACTCGATCCTGGGTTTCCGGGACCACACCCTGAGGTGAAGACATACACTCAACCACTGAGCCACCCAGGCATCCCGAAAAAACTATTTATTAAGGGTACCTGGGTGGCTCAGTTGGCTAAGCATCTGACCTCGGATCAGGTCATGATCTCTGGGGTTGTGGGATCAAGCCCCATGCTCAGCAGAGTCTGCTTCCCCATTACATCTCCCTTTGCCCCTCTCCCTCCTTGGACACTCTGAAAGAGACCTATCTCTATTTAAAAAACTGAATTAATCCCACCAGTTTAGAAGTTGACAAATTGATTCTAAAATTTTTATGGGAATACAAAAAACCTAGATTAGCCCAAGTATTCTTAAAGCAATACAAAATTGGAAGAAGATAAAACAAGTCACAGTAATCAAGACAGAGTGGTACTGACATAAGGATTAAAATCCGATCAGTGAAAAGAATAGAGAGCTCAAATATAGATCCTCACATATACAATCATTTTAATTTCAATAATTAGTTCCCAAAACAATTCAGTGGCAAAAGTATTTTATCTAAAAACAAATGGTTGGGATCCCTGGTGGCGCAGCGGTTTAGCGCCTGCCTTTGGCCCAGGGCGCGATCCTGGAGACCCGGGATCGAATCCCACGTCGGGCTCCCGGTGCATGGAGCCTGCTTCTCCCTCTGCCTGTGTCTCTGCCTCTCTCTCTCTCTCTCTCTCTCTCTCTGTGTGTGTGACTATCATAAATAAATAAAAATTAAAAAAAAATGGAACATAAAAACAAATGGTTATAAAAGAAAGAAACCGGGATCCTTGGGTGGCGCAGTGGTTTGGCGCCTGCCTTTGGCCCAGGGCGCGATCCTGGAGACCCGGATCGAATCCCACATCGGGCTCCCGGTGCATGGAGCCTGTTTCTCCCTGTGCATGGAGCCTGTTTCTCCCTCTGCCTGTGTCTCTGCCTCTCTCTCCCTCTCTGTGTGACTATCATAAATAAATATCAAAAAAAATTTAAAAAAAAAAAAAAAGAAAGAAAGAAACCTTCACCTCTATCTCTTATCATATCCTAAAATTAATTCAGGGTGGATAACAGACCTAATGGAAAAACTATCCTAGAAAAAAACAAAAGACTATCTTCATAACTTGGTGGTAGGCAAAGGTTTCCTTGGGCTTATACTACAGGAATAAACAAATGACGAATTACACTTAACCAAAATTAAAACTTCTGATCAGAAGACATCATTAAGAAATCAGAAAATAACTGCAAAACACTATGTGACAAATGACTTGTATCCAGATTGTAAAAAGAACTAGAACTCAAAACTAAAAAAAACTTAACACATAATAAAAGACAAGGCAATTTCAAAAAGCAAGCAAAAACAATTTGAATAGACACTCCACAAAGAAAGATATGCTAATGATCAAAAAGCACATTAAAAAGTGCTCAGTATTCATCAGGGAACACAAAGCCACAATGAGAGGCTGCTATACGCCCACCAAAATGGGTAAAATTAATGGACAATACCAAATGTTGGCAAGAATGAAATAACCAGTTCTCTCACATACATTGTTGGTGGGTAGATAAAATGGTACTAATGCTGTGGGGAAAGGTCTGGCAGTTTCTTAGTAAGTAAACATATATTTTTCTGTATAATCCAATAATTCTCCCTAATAATTATCCAAGAGAAATTAAAATATATGTCAATAAAAAGGCCCAAACAAGAATATTAGCAGCAGCCTTACTCATAATAGCCAAAAACTGGAAAGAGACCAGGTGTCCATCAACAGCAATAAACACAAATTGTATATTCATACCTTGGAATACTACTGAGTAATAAAAAGGAATAAACCATTGGCATACACAATCCAGATAAATCTGAAGAACACGTGAATGAAAGAAGCCAGATGGATAAAAGTACATTATGTTTCATTTGCATAATATAAAGTTCTAGAAGAGGTAAAAATAATCTTTGGTCAAAAAAGGAAAAAGTCACAATAGTGATTGACATTGGTATGGAGGAGGGCGCCAAGATGAAAGAGAACTTTCTGAAGAGAACTTTCTGAAGAAAACTTTCTGGGATAATGGTAATGCCCAGCAATTTATTAAAAAGATAATAAACAATGACCAAGTGAAGTTTTCCCCAGTAATGCAAAGTTGGTCTAACACTCAAAAGAAAAAAAAAATCAATATGAAACATAAACAGGATAAAGTAGAAACATCCTATGGAAAAGACTTATGATCCAAAATATGACCAATAACAGGCAAGGACATGCATCCCAAAGATATGAAAATGGCCAATAAGCCCCTGAGAAGTGTAAAATAAACCACACTTACTAGTAGCTAAAATTAAAACAATTATGTGGGATCCCTGGGTGGCACAGCGGTTTAGCGCCTGCCTTTGGCCCAGGGCGCGATCCTGGAGACCCGGGATCGAATCCCACGTTGGGCTCCCGGTGCATGGAGCCTGCTTCTCCCTCTGCCTGTGTCTCTGCCTCTCTCTCTCTCTCTCTCTCTCTCTCTGTGTGTGTGTGTGTGACTATCATAAATAAATAAAAATTAAAAAAAATAAAAAAATAAATAAAACAATTACATGTACCAAATGTTCGAAAGAGTATGGAACAAGAGGAACTCTCATACACTGCAGACAAAAAGTGTAAAATATGAACATTTTGGAACATTGGTGCTTTTCTTATATTATAAAGTCTAGCATTCACTTAACATATGATCCAGCAATTCCACTCCTAAGTATTTATCAAGAGATATAAAAACATGTCTATTATAACTTATACATAATCACTTTTTTCATAAAAACATACTGGAAACCAGTATTTCTCAACAAAAAAGGAAGAAATTAGGTAAATGCAACATGGATGAAGCTCTAAAACTTTAAGTCAAATGACAGAAAGTCAGACATAAAACAGAGCATAATGAGCTTACATGCCATTTATATAAAGTTTGAAAGCAGACAAAAATTAAGTTATAGTGACAAATTTCATCAATGATGGCATAGGTGGAGACTAAGAAAAGGTACTGCAATGAGGGAAATATTTCTTTTTATTTTCACTGGAGTGGTGAATACACAGATGAATATATTTGTAAAAACTCCTGTATAAAAAATTAGTCCACTTACTGCATGTAAATCATATCTTGACAAAGTTATTTAAAAAAAAAGAAAATCTGCACTCCTTCTCAAATGACTAAAAGTTGAAAAATGCCAAGTTTTGGTAGAGGTAGAAGAAGTACAACTCATATAACGCTGATGAAAATGTTTTGTGATGCCACTAAAAATGAATATATGTATATCTTATTATCCAGCTATTCCTAGTTAATATACCCAATAGAAATACGAATGTACATTCACCTAAGACATGAACTAGAACATCTATAGCAACACTAACAGTAAAACAATGGAGATATTCAAATGCTAACAAAAACTGAATAAGTTGCAGTATATTTACACAATGGAAATTAGCTAGTACTCATCAAAATATGAACTTCATAAATATGTTGAAAAAAAGAAGCCAGACACAATTCTATTTATATACATTAAAAGAAAATCTATGAAAAGAGAAGTCAGGATAGTGGATGATAAAAAAGATAGTGGGTTGCTGCAGGGAGAAGAGGGCATGTAAGGGTGGCAGAGGGGGACTTAGAAGATGATGGTAATGTACTTCTTTTTTTTTTTTAATTTTTATTTATTTATGATAGTCACAGAGAG